AACCAGAATATAAGTTAAGATGTCACGTTAAGCTAATCACGACGTATAACAACTGTAACTCAAGTTTCAATTATACTTTCCTCAGCTTTAAACCAGGATATAAGTTATGATGTCACGTTAAGCTAATCACGACGTATAACAACTGTAACTCAAGTTTCAATAATACTTTCCTTAGCTTTAAACCAGGATATAAGTTATGATGTCACGTTAAGCTAATCACGACGTATAACAACTGTAACTCAAGTTTCAATTATACTTTCCTTAGCTTTAAACCAGGATATAAGTTATGATGTCACGTCAAGCTAATATGCTAATAAAACCAAAATGATAATATCTATACTAATATAACGTAAATAATAAGACTTTTACTATTATAACCTAAAGAATGGGAGTTTTACTATTAAATCTTAAAGAACAAGATTTGTAATTAAGATAACCTTAAGAATAAGATTTGAAACTAAGATAATCTTAAAAATAAGATTTGAAACTAAGATAATCTTAAAAATAAGATTTATGGCAAGATTAACAAAAAGTTCAGAGGTAGAAATAGGAAGCCCTTAACTATTTGACAAATGAGATTCTTACCATGATTGGTTGTACCGCACGTACTACTTGTCGGAGCTTTTTTATAAGTGGCACTGTTCATCGTGAGCTTGCGTACGTTTTTGTCAGGGTGAAACACAATTATGTAGACCTTGGGCGAGAACAGACAGAACAACGCCACAAAGGCGCTTAACGAAATCGATACGCAGAGGGTGGTAATTTGAACCTGAAAATTAAAAAATAACATGAAATGTATATGTATATAGGGCGACATCTATTGTAAAATTAAACAACTAGATAGTTTTATAGTTTCTGAAACCACATCAATACATCAAAAAACAACGGTTCTTTGAAGTACATTGGTTAATTAACTCTTTTAACTCATATTCACATATTTTTTTTTTTCTCAACTTGATTCTTTGAAGTAACTTACGCAAACAGTTGACTTCATAGACAACGCCTAGAGATTTCTTCTATTTTATTTTGTTGTACATTCGGAAATACATTTAGTGCTGGAATTTTAACAGGTGATCCAATATATTCCAATCATCATTGAATCTAGTTTACTTATATGTTAGTTAATAACATCTTGTATTTTGAGTTTGTATATAGAATTGGTTTATTTCATTTATAAATTAGTTTTTGTTTGTTTTGACCTACATAATTACGTTATCTTTGAACAGAAATTATTCACGATATGGTTGTAATGAATAAAAATGAAAAGCAATATAGCGCGCAGAAGACTCCTGGCAAATAACGAAACTTAATAAACATTTTAGCTGTTCTACGTCGTGAAAATCTTAATCTTTAGGTTATATTAGTATAAATATCATTGCTTGGGTTATAACAGTAAAAATCCTATTATTTGAGTTTATATTAGTATAAATCCTATTATTTGAGTTTATATTAGTATAAATCTTGTTATTTAAGTTGTAATAGTAAAAATCTTATTCTTTAGGTTATATTAGTATAAATTGCATTCTTTCGGTTATATGAAAATCAAGTAGTTGTTTTTCCCACACTATTCATAGTTTATATATATATATATATATATAAA